TTGTCAGGGCGCGAAGGGGCGAAATATATAGCGTGTGAAGGCTTGGAGTCGCGCCGTCCGGTTTTTCAGCGAGATCAATCAGACTCGGCAGAAATCCGGCCAAGGTTTTACCGCCGCCCGTCGGGGCGATCAGCAAAGTATCTTGTTTGCATGCAAAGGCATCTACCATGGCGCGTTGATAGTCCCGCACCTGCCAATTCCGGTCGGTGAACCATTTTTCAATATTTACGGGAACGTCTGCCATTCTCATTCGCTACATAACATATAGAACTTTTTCACTTTAAATCGGATCCTTATGTCTAACGCTGCAGCAGAGAAATGGATGCAAGTTCGCCCGGAAGGCTTGTATTGCGTGCCGGCGGATATTTATATCGACCCAGCGGAGGCGGTGAAACGTGCCATCATCACGCATGGTCATGCCGACCATGCCCGATCCGGACACGGGGTAGTCTTCGCGACGCCCGAGACCATAGATATCATGCGCACGCGCTATTATCTTGGCGAAGAAACGCAGGAAACAGGACTGAAATATGGCGAGCGGTTTGATCTCGGCGGTGGGGTTACGCTTTGGTTCGCCAGTGCAGGCCATATTCTCGGATCCGCTCAAGCCGTTTTAGAATATGACGGCACGCGGGTCGTGGCGGCCGGCGATTATAAACGCCATCCCGATCCAACCTGTGCTCCGTTCGAGGTTGTTCCCTGCGACGTGTTCATCACAGAGGCGACTTTCGCGCTACCCGTATTTCAACATCCTCCATTGGAAGCTGAGGTTGAGAAGCTCCTACGGTCTCTCCGCGCCCTGCCCGACCGGACGCACATCGTCGGCGTTTACGCGTTGGGAAAATGCCAGCGCGTCATGAAGACGCTGCGCCTCGCGGGCTATGAAGAGCCTTTTTATATGCACGGCGCACTCAGAAAATTGACTGAACTCTACGAAAGTTACGGGCAGGATTTTGGAGCCTGGGAAATGGTCAGCAATATTCCCCGCGCTAACAAACATGTTTTTCAAGGTAAAATCGTCCTCTGCCCACCTGCGCAGATAAATGACCGCTGGTCCCGCCGCTTCGCTGACCCGCTGCCGACCGTCGCGAGCGGATGGATGCAAATCCGCGCCCGGGCCCGACAGAAACGCGCGGAGATGGCACTCGTCGTCTCCGATCATGCGGATTGGGGCGATCTTATCCGCACCTGTGAGGAGACAAAAGCCGAAGATATTTGGATTACGCATGGCCGTGTCGAAGCTTTGGAATATGCCCTAAAAGAGCGGGGCATGCGGGCGAAGGCGCTGAACCTGATTGGCCGCGATGAAAGCGTTGAATAATGGAACGTTTCGCAGAACTCTTGGACGATCTCTATTTCACCAATTCAACTCTGGCGAAAGAAACAATCCTCTCCAACTATCTTCGCGCGACACCTGATCCTGACAGAGGATGGGCGCTCGCCGCGATTGCCGGTACGTTGAGTTTTGATCTTTTCAAACGCAATGTCATCAAGTCTCTGATGATGGAACGGATGGACCCGTTCCTGTTTGATATGTCTCGTCATTATGTCGGTGAAATGAGCGAAACTGTCGCGCTGGCTTGGCCAAAATCTGAAGATCCCGTCAGGCTCAACCGTCTTCCCAGCCTGCATGAAATAATCGAGGAATTTCAATTCCGCGACAAAGCGGGCATCCAAAAATATCTGATCACGCTTCTGGATAATATGTCTCCGTCGCAAAGATGGGCGCTATTAAAGCTCGGTACGCGGGGTCTTCGTATTGGCATGTCGGCCCGGTCGGTGAAACAAACTCTGGCAAAGATGAAAGGCGTGGATGTTGATATTATTGAGGCGGCCTGGCACGGATTGACACCGCCCTATCTCGATCTTTTCGCTTGGCTCGACGGGACCGCAGACCTGCCGGATTTAAGCGACGTCGTCACCTTTTCGCCGGTTATGCTTGCCCATCCGATTGATGTCGAAAAAGACCTCAGCCGAATCACCCCTCAAACCCATCAGGCCGAATGGAAATGGGACGGCATCCGTGTCCAAGTCGCCGCCAATGGCAAAAGCGGCGGCGCGAAGGAGGTCAAAATATTCTCCCGCAAAGGCGAAGATATCTCAGGCAGCTTTCCAGACCTGATCGAGACCGTCGACTTTCACGGCGTTATCGACGGCGAGTTACTTGTAAAACCCGGCGGAGAGATCGGGTCATTCAATGATCTGCAACAGCGGCTTAATAAAAAGAAACCCGCAAAAACCCTGATGAAAAAATTACCTGCTCATGTGATCGCCTATGATCTTCTGGACTGGCAGTCTGAAAACCTGAGGCAGGAACCCTTGTCGCGCCGTCGAGAGCTGTTGAAAAGCCTGATTGCGGCCCACCCCGACGGGCGCTTCGCACTTTCGGAGACTCTAGTTTTCGAGAATACCGACGACCTGGTCTCACTACGCGAAGAAGCGGCACAGACAGGCGGTCTGATCGAAGGCCTCATGATCAAAGATATGAGCAGCGTCTACGTGTCCGGGCGGCCAAAACATGCTTGGTATAAATGGAAACGCGATCCTTTCCTATTGGACGCCGTCCTGATGTACGCTAGGCGCGGTACGGGCAAACGCTCTTCATTTTATTCGGATTACACATTCGGTCTGTGGGGAGAGGACGGCACCCTTCTACCTATCGGAAAGGCCTATTTCGGCTTCACGGACGAGGAATTAAAGAAAATCGATAATTGGGTGCGCAGTCACAAGCTCCAAAGATTCGGCCCTGTCCAAGAGGTTGAAAAAGAGCTCGTTTTCGAAGTCGCCTTTGACGCAGCGCAAATCAGTAAAAGACACAAATCCGGCTATGCTTTAAGATTTCCCCGTATACACAGAATCCGTTGGGATAAACCGGCCGCCGAAGCGGACAAAATCGTGAACCTCGCGAAATTAGTTGGCAAATAGTCCGACTAGAGTTTGCCAGGTGAGCTGACTTCGCGATAGTCCTCTTAGCATGCGTAATTGGACGGACTGATTACGCGGTCGAGTTCCTGATAGTCTACAGATGTTGATCTGTAGCTATGGGAGATAAGAATGAGCTATTTTGTAGGACTGGATGTTTCGCTGCGTACTGTAGCGCTGTGCGTTGTGGACGCTGATGGTGATATTATCGTGGAACGAATGTTAGACTGCGAGGTCGAAGCGATTGATGACTACCTTCGCAAGTCTGGAGAGCCGATTGCCAAGCTAGGCTTTGAAGCCGGCGTTATAAGCCAGATGCTGTTTCATGGGTTACAGGCCCTCGGATATGACGTTGTGTGCCTGGAAGCGCGTCAGGTCAGTGCAGCCTTGTCGGCTAACCACACATTATAAACTAACGGTTCGTCCTGACCTGGACGAGGTGTTTGTGGATCACGCCGATAATGTCCGCTGTGCCATATTATGAGCACGACTCTTAGCGAGGCGCTACACCACCGATCCGAAAAATGCATGCAGCGCCTATCACTGATCAGCCGACTGCGAAGAGAAGCGTGACCCGGGAACAGACAGAACCACAAATTAAAGGAAACTAGGAACTTGACTAAACAAACCAATTAGAGAAGCGGACATTAGCAAATCCTCGAAAACTGTCCAAAACAGAGAGGCTAAGTTGAGATAAATTTTGTGGAGAGCGTGAGCATTCAGCTGTCGATCAGCTAACTTTTCGAAGTTTCAATCTGGAGTTAATTTAACAAAAAAATCAGGAGTACTCCTATAAAGACAAGTCATGAGGGCAGAAAAAAAGGGATATTTATCGCGCCGGCTTCCGCTGGGCCGCAACATTTCAGGTTGGGTCGTTGAACGTCCCGAATTACACCTGCCCGCGCAAACCTTGGTTGCGTTGAGACATGACCTAAAAACGATAGCGCAGAAAACCTTACCCGGAGAGCCGCTGGATTACGGCGTTTTTCAAGAGGGTAACGATGCGCTGTCCCGCTCTCTTGTCACGATCCTTTACGAGCGCAAAACCGGACACCCTCTCGCGTTTAACAGCATGCCGATTTTAGACGTCGAATTACAAGGACAGACGGAAGAAGTCCTCCACCTTGGTTTGGTCATGGTCGACCCTGATGCCCGCAGCGGCGGCTTGTCGGCTCTGCTCTATGGCTTTGCCTGTATATTGATGCTGATCCGCAGACAGTTCCGGCCTGTCTGGGTGTCGTCGGTGACTCAAGTTCCGGCGGTTGTCGGTCTGGTCTCTGAGCTTTACTCCAACACTTACCCGACCCCCGAAATATCGTCACGGCGCAGCTTCACGCATCTGCAAATCGCGCGCCGAATAATGGAAGCCCATCGCTCGGCTTTCGGTGTCGGGTCGGAAGCGGGATTTGATGAAGACAGTTTCGTGATCTCCAACGCTTATACGGGGGGATCAGAAAATCTGAAGAAGACCTATGACGAGGCCCCTAAACATCGAAAAGAAGCTTACAATTATATGTGCGAAGAAAAATTGGATTATGCGCGGGGCGATGACTTCTTACAAATCGGGAAACTAGACGCGCCTGCCGTGCGGCACTATTTTATGCGAAAAGACCCGGACGCGCCCGTCATCGCCCCTCTCGTCGCTATCCTTTTCTTCAGTCTTCAATCTATTTTCTTTCCGGTGCTGCACTGGTTCGACAACCGCAAACATTGGGGAGAGTTACGACCATGGAAAAGCTGACCAATGCCTTCACATATGACGAGTTTACGACACGAAATTTCGGGTTTGTTGACCAAGCCGAACAAGACAAGCTGAAGGCGTCATCCGTCTTCGTCTGCGGCGTGGGCGGCATGGGCGGCGCGTGCTTGCAAGCCTTGGCGCGAAGTGGGATCGGGCATTTCATTATCGCAGATATGGATGTGTTTGAGTTATCCAATCTGAACCGTCAGGTCTTCGCCAATCTCGGCACGGTAGATAAAGAGAAGACGCGAGCAACTGAGACGGCCATATTAAATATCAATCCGGAAGCCAAAATCGACGTCTATGACGGGTCTTGGCCCGATCATTTGAACGGCATTCTAGACCGCGTGGATATCGTCGTGAACGGCATGGATGATGTTGCAGAGACCATAAATCTCTACCGTCAATGCCGCCTCAAAAAACTGACGATTATTGATGCTTATGCGGCCTCTCTGCCCAGTGTTTATGTGACGCGAGCGGGGAAACAAACACCTGAAGAGCGCCTGAATTATCCGACCAAAGGACGCCCGCGCGCGAGCTGGACGGAAGAGGATTTTTCCGAGGCCTTTTTGCGTGAACTCGAATTTGTCATGGGATGTTCTTCATCACGGAAATATATTGATATGGAGGCGGGCGCGGAAATGGCCGCCGGTAAAAGATCCCGAATGTCTTTTGCGTCGATGGTTATTTTGACAGGAAATATGATGTCATACGAGGTCATCAATGCGTTATTGGATAGGCCCTCGGGCGCTGACAATCGAGGATACTTCTTCAACCCGCACACGGGGCGGACAGAGCGTCCGCCCATTAAGCCGGTCGAATGGCTTCTGCGAAGACTCGCAGGCCGCGCTATTGCAAAGCTCATGGACTGACCTCTGATGGGCTCCGCTGACGTCTTCATTAATGTGATTGCCGCAATCGGTATGCTCACCTTATGGCTGAGCATACGGCAAGCGGATAAGTCTTCAATTTTCGAACGCCGTATCGGCTATCTGGCCTTGGCGGCAAGTTTTCTGTTGGCCTTACGGTCCGGTTTTTGGGTCACCGACTCCTATGCCTTGGAACGTGTCGCCTTAATTCCCGCGATTTTGTTTCCCGTATTGATACTGATCGCGATGGAAGGCTTGCTGCGCCGGCACGCGCCTGTTGCTATGAAGCTCATTGCAGGCGCGGCAATTGTCCTTGGGTTGATTGCAGTGATTGCCGGTCATCGACAATTCGAACCGTGGTTCTCCTTTGTTTTGGCAGGTGTGCAGATGTGCGTCATTGGCTTCTGTCTGATTTGGGTCCGGCTGCGTGATAAGTCGAAAAATACGGATGCCGAAAATCAAACCGCAAATATTGTGGCTGTCACGCTCGTTTGTCTTGCGCTGGCTTGTATAACGGATTTCCCCGAAATTATTGAGATGCCCGTCAGACTCGGGGCAGTCGGGATGCTGATTGTCGCCTATGTATTGGTCTTTGTCGCGTCACAGCGTTTTTCGCTCCGCCGGGCAATATTAGAAATCAGCGCGATTGTGACTATGGTGGCCGTCTATCTTTGGATGTCGACCTCAGTTTTGGGCGCTGAGAGTTGGCAAGCCATCGTTCAGCTTGGCGGCGTTTTATTTTCGCTGATGCTTACAACAGTAATTGTTATCCGGGTCTTCACGATGCGGCGCGGCGTGAGCGGGGCGTCGGACGCGCGTCTGGCAGACGCTGACACGACTGATTTGCTCTCATTTTTAGGAGATGCGATGGGCGGTCCGCTGACGCCGCACGCCTATGTTTTGCAGGGAGATGATTTGGCGGATTACGATATGGGCCAATTACGAGATGTCTTCCGGTCTGTCCCGGTGATCAGTCGCAATGCTCCAATCGCCAAGCTTCCTGATACGGCCGGGGAGCAAATCTCCGACATCTTAAATCAGAACAACGCCGAACATGTTTTCATGGCCTCGCAAAACCCGCCTGTTTTGGTTGTTTGTGCGGCGCAATCTTTCGGTGATGAGCGAGAGCTGGTCTCTTATTTATCTTTGGTGTCCAAAATGTGTGAACTGATCAAAAGGATTCGGAAAAATGATCCAAATTAGAGAAGGCGATTTTGATAGTTTCTTCGAAGCGCCGTTCAGCGCTTACGGCAAAGACAGTCTCTATGTGTCGCCGATAAAAAGCGACTTGAAACGGTTTTTATCCAAGTCTGAAAATCCGCTTTTTCGCGGCGACAGCGATATCACCCATTTTACCGCGCACCGGGACGGCCGCGTTGTCGGGCGTATCACGGCCCATATCCATGCGGAAAGCAACGCAGCCTTTGACACGAATGAAGCCTATTTCGGGTATTTCGATTGTGCGAATGATAGCGAAGCGGCCAAGGCCTTGCTTGACGCGGCGGAAGGTTGGGCTGGTGCAAAGGGCTGCACGTCAATCGCCGGAAACTATAACTTAACTGCCATGCAGCAGATTGGGGTCATGGTCGGAGGCTTCGAAAATCCCGCCTATACGGATCTGATTTACAGTCCGCCCCACATCAAAGATCTCCTGGCTGAAAACGGCTATAAAGCGGAGTTCCCGATGGCTACATTTGAGACGCCGTTTAACGCGGATTATACGCCGCCCAGCATCGGTCCGAAACAACAAGCTATATTGGATAATCCGGATTTCGAATTCGCGCCGATTAACCGAAAAACGATAGCCGCCCGCATCGAAGACGCACGCGTTATCCTGAATGAGTCTTTCGCGTTAAATCCGCAATTTGTGCCTGTCACAAAAGAGGAATATGATTTTCAATCCAAGGATATGAAATGGATCATTGATCCGCGTATCTCCGGCGTCATGCACTACAAAGGAAAGCCGGCGGCCTGCATCCTGTGTATTCCGGACCTAAATCCCTTATTGCAGAAAACACGCTCTCGCATGGGGCTGGGATTTATTTGGCATTTCATCATGCACAGGCTGAAACGCAAACGCGCAGTTTTAATCTATTCCGGCGTTATTCCTGAATTGCAGGGCCGAGGCGTCAACCCGTTGGTGCTCAATCATATCACGACGGCCATGGTCAAAGCCGGATATGAAACGCTTGGCAACACGTGGATCGGCGCAACCAATAAGGCCAGTTTGCGGCAAAAGGAAAAGATGGGCGCCCGCCCGCTGCACGAGTTGCGGATTTTCCGAAAAGCACTGGCGTCGTGATTCTCACCCCGAACATCCAGGCGGCGGTCGTGACGGTGGCAAACCGTGCGCCCTCGGTGCATAATACCCAGCCTGCCCGCTGGGCATTCGATGGCGGCGGGGTGCAGATTTACGCGGATGAGAGCCGATACCTGACTGTCGGCGACCCCACGCTTCAAGACGCGGGCGTGTCATGCGGCGCGGCCTTGGAAGGTACTGTGATAGCCTTGGCTGAGCGGGATATAGGCGTGGAATCAATTGAGGATCATTGGCTGTCGGATACCCCTTCGACCTACGCCGGCATGACGTTAGCCGCGAGTTTAACGTTGAAACTGGGCGCCGCAGTCGACCCTTTAAGTGAATATATAAAAGACAGGTTCACATGGCGAGGTCTGTTTACTCGGCCTGCGGAAGATGCCGGACAAGCCCTTCAAATGTGGGCCGACTCTGCGAGCGATATAACTTTGGTGACGGACCGGGAAGCAATTGCCGATCTGGCTAAAGTCAATGATACGGCGAGCCTGAAGTTCTTTAAAAACCGCTCCTATCGTGAAGAGCTCTTATCTTATATGCGCTTGTCCGAAAAACACCCGCTCTGGGACACTGACGGTTTAAATCGCGAGGCCATGCAGCTTTCAAAATTTGAAGGATCAGCGGCGGGATTGATCTTGCGCCACCCGTTCTTTGAAGGCGTCAGCGCTGTCGGTCTTGGCAAGGCTATCGTGACGGAAGCTGCGAAAACAAAGTCGTCGACTGCTGTTGGCTTTTTCACAAAACCGGAAGGCACATCCCCGCTTCAGACCGGGCGGGATTTATATCGTCGGTGGCTGGAGATAACAGAGCTTGGCTTTTCAGTTTGGCCGATGGCCGTTGTAGCAGATGACCCGGAGAGCGCGGCGCAGTGCAAGGCGGCATTTAAT